ACAAAAATTAAGAACTTTTAATGATTATGATAATCAAAATAAAATTAAAAATACATAATAAACTCTGATCTTAAATTATCTAAATTTAAGTTTTAAATAGACTATCTCTCTTTACTCTTATAACCCCCTCTTATAAAAAACTTATAATGCGATTTCTCAATATTTTGCATCTCAATCAGTAGGAATGCACGTAACGCTATTATCACAAAAACTCGATAATAAGTGATTCTGTCCAGCAAGCGACACAATATGACAAAGATTATGTCATCTTCATTTGATATTAGCAAATAACAAGAATTCACTGTGTTATACTATATCATCTGCGTTTCTTGCTGCAAAGCGCCCTATATCGGATAATTCGAGAGATTAAAAAACCATGTTAAATAATTTTCAAGTTCTATTATATACATGTAGGTATTGTATACAAGTTATAGGTTACAAGCTGCGTCCTGTAATAACTTGGCTAACTATTAAATATGGAAAAATATTTTAAAAATTGTGTATTCGTACCTGTTATATTGTCAAAAGCAATTGCAAATCTGCAGTATAGAAAATTCTTATGCTTACGTTATAAATCTTATAATAATATGTAAATCGTGTCCGATGCTCATCAACAATTAAACGTAATCTTATCATGTGTGTCTACGAGTCGCGAAGGACTGAAGCTTATGGCACATACAAAAACGTAAGGCAATAACGTAAGCAAATTGGCCAATCATAGTAGAGACTGTAAGTAAACCAGTAGCAAATCCAATGTTACGATTTCCTTACTGCTTACGTCTTACTGTCTTACGTTTTTGTATGTATATTTATCCATGTACCATGGGCTTTATGGGAGCACGCGTAGCTCGCGACAGTCGCGATTGAAATGTTCTAAGATGCCCCGTGATTTGGTTTGTTCAAATTTACTCCTATCAGTCATATTGAAAAAATATCTGTTGTTTATCAGAATATCGATAAAAACCAAATATTTTATTTTTATTACGTAGATGTAGACGTATGAAAAAACATAGCACAACAACAAAATGTTAATTATTTAATGATTTAATTTTAAAATGTTTACATGTGCGAGGCAAAACGTGTTTAATACGAAGGCACAAAAACACAAAACGCTTCTAGATTAGATTAACAATTGCAACCGCGGCAACTACCACTTGACGATTATCTATGTCTATATTGACATTTCAAAAATTATAATTTGTAATCGCAGAAAAGAACAGTTT